AGGGTCAGTGAGTGAGGCTGAGCAAGATTGAGAAAAGCACCCAACACCACACACACACACACACACACACACACACACACACACACACACACACGATTCCATGCTTCTAAAGTCATGCTTTGCTCCTTGCTAGCATGTGCTTTAGAGTACTTATTCTTTATTTGTCCATTTTTACTATCTATATGATGTCACATGCTCTATTTCCTTTGGGGAGGTGGGTCACAGCAATGTCTAGAACAGCACGGAGTTTTTGTGAAGATTTAGCTGCTTATGTTGCTTATGTCCTGGGTACTTGTAAGACAAAATCTCTTATAGTATTAATTTCTGTCTTCTGATAGAATAGTTATTAACCCATCCCTTCTAAAGAGGACAACAGGGGGACAGATGGGCATGAACTTATGTTATCTGCCTACTGTCACATGACTAACCAGACATTGCCAAGCTGATGCACGCCATCACTGCAGTTCTCATACCTCACAGTAGGATTTTGTGGGGAGGGACAAATGTATCACTGTGCATGGTATTTAGGGGTGCTCTTTTTCTTTTTCTTTTTTCCCTCAACAGCAACCAAGAGATGTTTAAACTCTCATCACTAGATGTTACCCATGCTGCCTTGGTGGATAAATTCTGGCATTTTGGTGGCAACGAGAGGAGCCAGAGATTCATTGAGCGCTGTATCCAGATCTTCCCTAGCTCATGTCTCCTGGGACCTGAAGGAACCCCTGTGTCTTGGGCTCTGATGGACCAAACTGGAGAAATGCGAATGGCAGGCACTGTGCCTGAGTACCGGGCACAAGGTCTCATCTCCCACATCATTCATACTCAGACTTTGGTTATGGATGAACTTGGCTACCCTGTGTATAATCATACAGACAGAGCCAACAAAATTATACAGAAAATGAGTCATACTCTGCACCATGTCCCTATGCCCTGTGATTGGAATCAGTGGAATTGTGTACCTCGGTAACTCTGGTGCTGAACACTTGGCTGTGTTGGGTAGGCTGTAATAAACTGGAGAAGTGGATGGTGGACATAGGTAAAACACAAACTGTAATGAACAATAAAGGAATGGGCATTGCTTGGGTTCTGGGAAAGCAGTGTGAATGGCCAACAGTATACCACAGTCCCCACCCTGATGTTACCTTTCAGATCCAGCAGATGTAGCATGGCCAAACCTGTCCACTGAGCTACTGGCTTTGTTCAGTTTTCTACACTCTGGATGTCAGTGGCACTTCTATTCAGCTGCACATTACTATCCTCATGTGGCTTATTGCCCATGATCAGATGTGTCGGGGTATGGTGCTGACTTGTCAATAGTGTATGCTTTTCTCTCTCCCTCTTTCCTCTGTTTAGAAGCTAGAGTACGCCTCATCAACAGGTACTTTGAAATGATTGCTTCACTGGTAGACCTTTGATTTCTGTTTAATAACCATGCTAAATGTTGCATGAATAAATATATGATAGCAGTTGGATATGGTATCTGAAAGACTAATTTTTAAGAAAATTTAAATGTGTACAACCTGAGGCTTTGGTAATAACAATAGATAATAAAAATGTCTTCTATAGTGAAACAAATTCACAAATCCATCACTTCACATATTTACCATATTTTGATTTGACATTGAGTAGCTAATCTCATTTAATATGAATCTCATATACAGTTCAATGTTACTATGATATTAATATTATAAGTAGATCTCTAGATTTTCTTAGTAACAAGTCAGAAATTTTGTAATCCTCTGATACCCATAATCTCTTTCTCACTTCATCCCTAACTTTGGTAACTTGCATTTTGTTCTCTATTTCTGTGCTTTTAAAAATTGTTTTAAATTTCATATATAAGTGAATTTATGTGTTAGTTTTTTTTCTATCCAGCTTATCTCACCTGGTATATCACCCAAGTTCATTCACTTTGTGGAAAATGATAAGAACTTGTTCTTGTAAAGGACAATATTACTATATTGTGATACACACTTTTTTCATGCCAGAGTTTCTTTATCCATTTGTCCATCAGCAGGCATTTAGGTATTTCCCTATCTTGGCAATTTATGAATAATCCCACAAAGAATTTGCCTTTATGAAATAAAGACAGTGGTCTTCATTGTACACATGCCCCAAAGAAGGATTTATAGATAACATAATTCTGTTTTTTTTAATTTCTTTTAAAATATCCATACAGTTTTCCATAATGACTGTACCAATCAAGAGTCCTACCAACCATGCAGAACAGTTACCCCTTCCCATATCCATGCCAACAGGTTTTTTTTCCTTTGAGAATTGCATTCATATATACAATATATATTGACCCTATCTGCCTCCACGGCCTCCAACTGCCTTTATCCCCAATCCAACACATCTTCCTCCAAAGCATCAAAGAAGTTAAGAGACCTGTCCATGGGAAGAGGAGACTGGACACATTCCTTGTCCTTTGACTGGCCACATGTTTAAGTAAGTAGGCTGAAGAAGACAGAAGAGGAGGGGTCTGCTTCTATAATTGGGGTGAGGGAGGACCCCACTCCTTTCTTGTAGTTGGCCTTTGTGATTTATGGGATCCACAGGTTTACCCTGTTGAGGGTAACAAAACAATTCAGTGGAGCTTGTTTTGGAGAAAGTCAAGGTTAGTTACAATGGCTTCAAATCACAAGAGATGGGAATGAGAATTAATGTGCCAAGAAAATGCAGAATCCCAAAGGAAGACAGAGAAGAATATGTGCAGATTTGCACAGTACCAGTCCATTGACTGAAGGAACACACAAGCTCTTTTGTCTCTCTGCATAGGTAATAGCTACTCATTTCTCTGGTTCTCTAGTTTGAGCATCTCTTCTTTTTTTTTAACTACAAAAATTTTTTCCTTCATTTTACACACCAATCAAAGATCCCCCTCTTCCCTCCTCCCGCCCCCCCCAGTCTTCCCCTTTCAACTCACTCCCCATTCCCCCCAACAAGAAGGCAAGGCCTCCCATAGGGAGGCACATTCAGTAGAGGCAAGTCCAAGCCCTTCCCCCTGCCTCAAGGCTGCAAGAGGTGTCCCATCATAGGTAGTGAGCTCCACAAAGCCGCTCATGCACCAGAGATGGATTCTGATCCTACTGCCAGGGGGCCTCCCAAGCAGCTCAAGCTACACAACTATCTTGTCATGCAGAGGGCCTAGTCCAGTCCCATGTAGGCTCCACAGCCATTGATCCCACTTTCATGAGTTTCCTGTTTGGTCATCCCTGCATGTTTCCCCATCATGATCCTGATGCACTCTTCTTTCCTTAGCAGAACTCATGACTAGCTGGGAAAATAGTACTGATCCCAAGAACGCAGAGACTGTCAAAATCCTTCCATAGTTGTTTCACATAGTAAAGTTGGCATGAAAATACCTTCTCAATGAGCCCTGTCTGTTTTTAGAAAGGTGGAGCAAATGTTAATATGTGTTGTCAATTTAGAAAGAAAAGCCTCTGCCACCAAGAAAATGTAAATCAAAATTACGTGAAGATTCCTTCTCACTCCAGTCAAAATGGCTATCCTTAAGAATTCAAACAGAAAATACTGACAACAATGAGGCAGAGAAGGACCCCTTATAAACTGCTGGTGGCAATGTAAACTAGTTTAGCCACTGTAGAACTCAATATGGATGTTTTTAGAAGAAATTAAAAACAACACCATGTGTTCCATCAATACAAGAGACATACCTAGAGAATCAAAGCCTACTACAGAGATGCCTGCATACCTATGCTTATCACTACTCTATTCCCAATAGCCAGGGTATGCATCGGGGTAGGTAGCCATCCATAGATGAATGGATAAAGGGAATATGTTACATACATGTACAACAGAGCATTGTTTAGTGATGAAGAATGAAATTACATTACTTACAGGAAAATGTATAGAACTGGATGGGATCATCAGTGGAACAGGTAGGCTCACAGAGATAAATATCAAGTATTTTCTGTCATGTGGAAGCTAGATATGAGGGTAAAGAAAGAGGGGTATTTTAGGAGATTTAGAAGAGAAAAAAGGGTAAAAGGAGAGGAGATAAGAAAGGGTAATGGGGAGCAAATTAGCATATCATTTACTACCGTGGAAAGTAAAAATGTATCTTATATAATATGATAATATCATAATGAAGCCCCTTTGTGGAATTTTAAAAAAAAGAACACAAGCTATCTAGACTGAATACTTCTCTGTCTTCAACACAGTTACCATCAGTTTCTGTCTCCATAAAAGTGAGATTAAGAGTTCTCCTCAATGGCTTCCTGTCTAGACTGTTCTTTTTGGGGGGTGGGTGGGTATAGGGGAGAGAGGTTGTCCAGAAGCCTTCTATGTCTCTCATTCTCAACTGTGAGTCTGAAATCATAGATACCACGGCAAAATAAGTTTCCTTGACATTTACAGTCAGTGACAGCACAGATCATGAACTTATACATGGTTTCTGGTGACAGCACAGGGACCATAGACATCCACATGTCCTCCATCATCCATCATCATGGACCACTCAGCATGCTCTCTGGTGCAGTTCAGACCACAGACATTAAAGCAACCCTTGGGCACAGAGTAGACCATTGGTACCATTATGACCCTTGGCCATAGCACAGGCCATGGACATTGACATGGCCTCCAGTGGCAACACAGACCAAGGGCATGAACATGACTTCAGGCAGCAGCTCAGACCACGGGCATCCACATGGCCTTTGGTGGTAATCCAGACCACAGACATCAATGTGGCCTCCTGAAGGGGCACAGACCAAGAACACCCACATGGTCTCCAGTGGCATCAAGGACCATGGAAAAGGGGATTCTTACTGCTCTAACACTGCAGGCAAGTCATTTCCCTTTATGCCATGCATTAAAAAAAGAGATATGTCATTGAGCTTTATGAATCAGGCCTCCCGCCTTGTGCTCTTGCTGATATTTGGTGGTAAAAATGGGGAGGAAGAAGGTATTGCTTACCTAACTGTCCCTTTCTACTCTGCTGGCTTACTGTACCTTTGGCTGGCATACCAATGGCAAGCGGAGCAAAGAGCAAGGTGGTGTTTAGAGAGAGAAGTTCAGAGGGCAAATGTTAGCCTTATCTTGCAGAGCCAGTTCCTACAGCACGAGACCAGTGAAGGAGGGAAGGGTTAGATTTCACTAGAGCTGGTATCAAGAAGTTTTTGTAAACATGCTTAGTGCAAGGTCCACATTTCCAGCCTCAGCTCAGTTAATTTCTGGAAGAGACATACCAAAGCTCACTCACTCTTCAGGTTCCCACTGAGCCTGCTGCATCAGAAGGGACTTTCACCTCCCAGAAGTCCATTTTTACAAAGACTGATTGTGGAGGCAGCTTTCCAGGTGAGGATTTGTCTCAAAGTAGCAGGTATGTAGGATGAAAAAGTCTAGAGGCCAAGTGAACAACACAAGAACTTTAGGTCATAAAATGATTGTGTGGGATGCATAGGCAATGAGTAGGTTTTAGCTGTTCATTAAAATATCTATCTATCTATCTATCTATCTATCTATCTATCTATCTATCTATCTATCTATCTATCTATCATCTGTCTGTCTGTCTGCATGCCTGCTGCCTGCCTGTATCTATCTATCTATCTATCATCTACCTACCTATCTATATTGGAGGCATGTGTACCACAGCCCTCTTGTGAAGGACAGTGGACAACTTGGAAGAGTTATTCTCTCCTGCCACCTCTATATGAGCTTTGGAGATCAAACTCTGGTTGCCAAGCTCGTGTAGTAAGCACCTCTGCCTACTGAGCCATCTCACCAGCCCATGGTGTCAGCTGTGCTTGCCAGGCATACAAACAAACAAAATTCTCAATACCTATTGACATAATGGAGTATGTTAATTGCTTCACTCTGGCAGCATAAACACATGCACGTACCCACAAATTTAATATAAAGCTATGCACTGTATGTGTTTGTATGCTCTATAAAACCACATGGTATATCTTAAATATACAAAGCAACATAACTTGTAAAAGGTCATTATTGCTTTTCAACATTTTCCTCCTCTCAAGTGATTATCAAAATGATTATACTGAGTGACTCCCAGAATATGTACCAAAAATGCCTAAGGGAAAAATAGTAATTTCATCTGAAGAAATACATAGCATGCATGTATTCTGTAAAAGGTAGTTTATCAAGTATAATGAAAAATTCTTGGATACTTCTATGCAGTAAATGAAAGCTTTTGTGGATTTTGGAAGTGGTGAATACAGAACCTACTGTGTGGAGGTACCGCACTATTGTGCTCAGTCTTTTCTGTTGTGCTACAGATAGATAGTTTTCTTTGCCTACTACTGGTAAGAGGGTTATCACACTTAAAGTCAGAAAGGTAGCAAGAATACACAACACAAAGATATTACTTATTAATCAGATAGCAAACAAAACTTATGTTCAAGGTTGCATCTGAAGACTATTATCACAGTCTAATTTTGAATTTACCTATGTTTTCTTTTAAACTCATGCTTTGCATGCTACTTGGAAGCTATTTTATGCCCTGTATGTTCTGATTTAATACTTTCCCCCATGCCCACATGCACTGTATATCATGCCTGGAGTTACTGTGTTCATGCTTTAGAGTTATTGTACTTTGCTAGATTGTGTTTTACATTTCCTTCCCCCACTTACAAACATTGTAGTTGTATTTAGCATGTACTTGTGCTTGTATAGCTTTATAAAATTCTGTTCTGTTCTTTTAAATCTGCTTTCATCAGATTAATTTCCATTCCTGGCATGGCAGGGTCAGCAACTCCAGAGTCCACTTAGAAGTTGCTCAGTACTACTGGCTACAGCATGTCAGGCTTCCTGGGAAATCTCACTATAGGTAGCTTTAAACCTATCCCTTTTATTGGGCACCATGCTTGGTTGTTAGTTTCTGTACATCCTAAAAAGGTGGTTCTAAATAACACCATTCAGGGAACTCAGCAATTTGTCGCACCACGGATTTAACATAAAGCTATACATGGCATTTTATTCTCATGTAACTCCCGATATAACCAGCAGTGCTGAGGGAGCACACAAAAAGGGGGTAATGCTTAGATTCGGGAAGTCAAATTGAATAGGCTGACCGGATTTTTTTTAGTGATTAAGTCTGTTGGAAACTTTTACCCTTTGCCTGCCGGGAACATAACCGCAATCTGATGAAACTGGGTTACTTTTCTGTCCCTACAAGATAAACAGCAAGCCATGGTGGAACACCGTGTGCCCTCAGCAAGTGTGTGAGAGGGGCTTGAGGTGAGAGCTGTGCAGAAGCAATCAAGGGGACTGCTATGCCTCCAGTTCGTGTCCTGCCGGAATTCAGGGTGGAGCAGGAACGTGTACAAGTAACAGCTGCATGAGAACTGGATATGCTACCTGGCACAAGGCTGTTGGCTACTTTTAGAGATAATGCTTATTTTGGTCTGTGCTGAAACTTGATTATTGGATAGGATGTTAGGTTTGTTGTTCTGTTCTTGGTCTGACTCCATTACGGCCATATAATGGCATTGTCTGATGTTAATTTTCTATTAAAGCATTATGTTTTCTCAAACTTTTAAATGTGATGGTTGGTGTTGTCAACTTGGCAGAATCTAGAATCATGTGGGAGATGGGCCTTGGAGTATGCCTATGGGAATTATCTTGATTATGTTTATTAATGTGGGAAGACTTATCTTAATTGTGTGTGGAACCATTTTCCTAGGCAGAGAATCCTAGACTGTACATATGGAGAAAGAGCTGAGCACCATGCATGTATTTACCTTTCTGTGTTTCTTAAGTGTGGCTGCAATGAGGCCAACTGCTTCAAGCTCCCACTGCTGTGACCTTCCCAGCATGATGGACCGTGCCTTGAACAGTGAGCCAAAACAAACCCTTTCTTCCTTAAGTTACTGTTGTTGAGAGTTTATCACAGTGACAGGAAAGGAATCTAAGACAATACATTATGGGAAACAGAATAGGAATCTTGGTCTAGATAAGCGACCCAGGTGACAGAAACCAGTATTAGGGCAAACTGATTCACTCTTTCTTCTAAAACCCACAGTGGGAAATTTCTCACTTCCTGAGCCTAACAGCAGTCACCCTCCCTGCTGAACAAGAGCAGTCTGCACCAGCTGCTGAGAAGTTAGTGTCACACTCCATCACACGGCTTAGATGTCTTCATAGAAAACCAAGTGATCACAATGACCATGCAAAATGGTCATCTCAAAGGGAATAAGAGGGGAATTTATTCTTGAGTCAAATATGTATCCACAACCTGGGAACATGGATTCAGGCTACCCCAAATAGCACACTCCAACATAGAAATGGTCTCATGAAGTTCTATAGTCACAGAACAAAAGGAGACCATAAATCAAGGCAATTTCCAAGTATGTGGGTAGAAACATCAGGGAGGTTGGTCACGGCAAAGTGGGGACATCTCTGTTGTAGGTCTCACATGCTACCTGATGACAGTCTTAGCTCTGGGTTTGGCAGATGTTAGTAGTCTCATAAGTTAATGCATTCCCAAAGGTTTTTCTGACAGCTGAAACACCAAAAGAATCTTAGATCCGACACAGAGGTGAGAAATGTGTGGCCATTAAGGGTTCTGAAGATAGCTAGCCACGATTTTGGCTCTGAATCTACAATATCTAAGTTCTCCACAGTCACAGAGTTCTGATTAGTCATCCAGCCTTGTAGAGTATTTGATATAGGTGTGTTTTTTTTTTTCTTGGAACTTTGGTTCGCAACAACTATCCAGTCCGTTTTCTGGACTTTTGATTTTATTCCACTGACGTATTTGTTTATCCTTATGCCAAGTCACTGTCCTGATATGTTAGTTTTCTACTAATAGTAAGGCTTACACTTAGGTGAATTTCATCATCAGTTGTGCCCCTTCCCACACATGGAACCTGGGGTGTTTCATGACTGATTTGATCAATTTGTAGATAAGTAACATTTTATTTTACTTTATTTTTTTATTTAAATGTGTTTGTTTATGTGCCACACATGTGTGGGTCCCATGGAGGTAAAAGGAAGGTGTCAGAGCCTTTGGAGCTGGGAGTTACAGGCAATTGTGAGCTGATATGAGTGCTGGGAACTTGAACTTGGGTTCTCCAGAAGAGCAACAAGTATTCTTAACTGCTGAACCATCTTTCTGGTCCCTATCTTTTTTTCCCTAGTTTTTTTTATTTGTTTGTTTGTTTGTTTGTTTGTTTTTCGAGACAGGGTTTCTCTGTGTAGCTTTGGTGCCTTTCCTGGAACTCACTCTGTATGTAGCCTAGGCTGGCCTCGAACTCACAGAGATCGGTCTGGCTTTGCCTCCCGAGTGCTGGGATTAAAGGCATGTGCCACCACCGCCCAGCCTAGTTTTTTTTTTTTTTTAATTTAAGACTTTTTTTTATTTATTTCACATACCAACCACAGATCTCCCTCTCATCCCTCCACTCACTACCCCCAGCCTTCCCTGCCCCCACCTCCTCCCTGCCCCCGCCTCCTCCCCCCATCCTCTCCTCCACAAGTATAAGGCCTCCCATGGAGAGTCAGCAAAGCCTGGTACATTCAGTTTAGGCAGGACCGAGCCTCTGCCCCCTGCATCAAGGCTGAGCAAGGCCTCCCACTGTAGGTAAACGGATCCCAAAAGCCAGCTCATGCACCAGAGATAAATCCCACTGCCAGGGGCCCCTCAAACAGACCAAGCTACAGAATTGTCTCCCTTATGCAGAGGGCCTAGTCTGGTCCCACAGGGGAATAAATAACACAGTTGAGTGTTGTTTATATGACCAACACTCTACCGAACACACTGCATGTTGGTCAATCATTTCAGCCCCACAAACATTCTATGAGCCAGATGATGCTATCATCCCACCTATCTTTTATGAAACCAAGGCACAGATGCTAAGCAACTTCCTGAGTAACATCATTCATGGAGATGACAGGAGAGATCCTGGTACACTGGAAACTCAAAAGACTAAAATGCACTTGTTAATGTAATGTGAATCCAGTGGTGAGAAGAGGAACGGAGAAGGTCAGACAGAGATTCCTGTGCTTCCTTCAAGTCCTGTGTTTCCTTAAGGCTGGTGAGGATGTTAGTGAAGGGGAGACTTGGCTAATCATACAGAACTGGCTACTTTTGTTTCTGTCATTAATGAATGTCCATTTATTATTCCTCTAGGCTAAACTGTCCTCATGATTGTCCCACTGCAAGGTGCACAAATGCTGCAGATGCTGGAGAAATCCTTGAGGAAGTATCTTCCTGAATCCTTAAAGGTGACCTCAGAAAATGCTGAGGGCAGCAGGAGAAAGTAGATGTGAAAAAGAGCTTAACATTTATGCTTCACTCTGTGTGTGTGTGTGTGTGTGTGTGTGTGTGTGTGTGTGTGTGTGTGTGTGTGTGTGTGTGTGTGATGTGTGTGTGGTGTGTACATGTATGAATAGAATACGTGCATGCATGAAGAGGACCAAGGTTGATGTTTAGTGTCTTTCTTGATCACTCTTCACCTTTTATGCCAAGGCAGGGTCTCTTGATGAATCTGAAGCTCACCAAATCAGCTAGTGTAGCTAGTCAGGCTGTCCAGGAAACTCCCCTGCCTGTGCCTCCCAAGCAATGGGATTACAAGAAGGCTGTCAGCACTGCTAGGCTTCTGTGTGGATACCGGGGATCAGAACTCTGAACTCCAGTCTGCACCCTGTGTGCTAAGCGCTTTATCCACTGAGCCATCTTCACAGCCCTTATGTGATATTATTCTGAACCACGCACTTCATATTTCATATTTTCTACCAGTTAATTTACATCACCTCTTTTCAGCTTTTGCCACTGTATCTGTGTCAGTGGTTAAGAATATGGAGATATAGTCAGGTGTGGTAGTGTATACCTTTAATCTCTGCACTTGGAAGTCAAGAGGCAGGTGGTTCTCTGTGAGTTCAAGGCTATCCTGTCTACATAGTGAGTTCCAGGCACAGTGAGACTCTACCTCCATTAAAAAAAAAAAGAGAATGTGGAAATATAAAGAAGCAATTTAAACGTTATGGTAGTCAGGACTGCTCAGGTGACAGGTGCTTACCTACAAGCCTGACAGCCTGGGTCTGATCTCCAGATCCCACTTGGTGGCAGGAAAGAACTAACTCCAAAAAGCTTCCATCTGACCTCCACACACATGATGTGACACACACATGCCCCACAAATAAAATACATAAATAAAATGTGAGAATATGGAGGGGCAGCTATTTCCTCATATCTCACCAGCAATTAGTTGCAACACAAGTCATGTACACACATGGATTTTGCCCTCTGCTGACTGAAGTTTTTCTGTTGCTTCTTTTCAAGAGCCCTTCCTTAGCAGCCCTTGAGATTCCTGGGGGTTTTCCTCCACAGTTAGCTGACAGTACATATTAATGTTTAATCAGTTCATTCCAGAAGAATGCTTGCCCTGTGAAAAGTGAACCATTTGAGAATGCTTGAAGTTAGAAATGGGTCTGTTGCTCTGAACTTAATGCATATCAGAATATTTTGGACTTGACTCCTGACTCTTCTCCAAAACCCAGTAAAACTGAGTAGAGATTCTGGGGTTGACTGAACCATGTAGATAGATCTAAATACTTACATTTGAGCTGTATAAAATCATCTCTAATGGTGGATTCAGAGCCTTGATTTTTTTTTTTTTTTTGGTTTTTTGAGACAGGGTACCTTGATTTTTTTTTTTAATCAAATGAGGTGAGGTCTACTCTAGTGGAGTTTAAGTATAACCATGTTTGTGTGTGCTATGTATGTGTGTGTTTGTGTGTATTGTTTATGCATGTATGTGTGTGTACAAGTGTTTATGTTTATGTTTTCTGTGTGTTATGTGTTTGTGATGGTGTATGTATGTATGTGTGTATATGTACATATTTGTGTATATATTTCTGTGTGTATGTATGTATGTGTGCTTATTTGCATGTGTATGCTTGTGTGACTATATGTGTGTAAAATGGTTCATATGTATTTCATCTGTTTGTATATTTCTCTGTGTTTGTACCCATGTTTGTGTGTGAGTGTATGAATGTTTGTATTTATGTGCATGCATGTGTGTATGTTAGAAGAAAAATATTTCCAGATTTGTGCCACTCTATAAGACATTTCCTACAAAATGCATTTAAGATGAGTAGATTCAGTTCCTTCTTTCTCTAGCAGATTTTGCTACTCCATATTCATAAAGAAGAAAAATCTTAGCATTCTTTTATTTGTAGCTTGTTTTATTTTATTTATTAATAATAAGCTAATAAGGGACCAATCCTATTATTTACCACCCAATAAATCTGCTTCAAATAAAACAAAACCCAAAAAACTTATTTTAGTAAAGCCCATAGATATAAACCAAGACCTTCTGTGGACGATGGTAATCCACAGGAGTCAGGAAATCTCCCAGAGAGAAAGCAAATTTTCTTGGAAATTATATTTGACACGCTATGGACAACTAGTTTGAGTAACTGTTATGTTGAACAGTTACTCAGAAAATCTGAAAGCTAAAAACTTTTTTTTACATGCTCTGTGATATAGAGTTTTAAAATGTAAATTTCTCTATTCCTTACGTTAAAAGTGAAGTCAAACATTTTGAGAAAACTCTAGGCGTTTTCCAGTGGCTTTGTTGAGCTCATGGAGTGAGGTGAGGTGGCTCTCTCAGCTTCTCAGCTCTTATAAAGGAATACTTAGCTCTTTAGTCACTTACTAAAGTGCACACTTTCTCCTAGTGGAAGTATAGAACAGCCATAAAGAAAGTTGTTCCTAAAAATCATTAACTTTATTTGTCTGAATATTTTACTATATATGTTATGGCTCATGTTTGAAGACAAAAATTTCATCTTTTTGAGTTGGGAAAAAATTGTGTGTGAGGTTGTGTAGCTAGAGTTTTCCTGCCTTGCCCACAGTCAGAACAAATCTTTGTCACCTGCCAGTCCCACAGCCGCTCAGACCCAACCAAGTAAACACAGAGACTTATATTGCTTACAAACTGTATGGCCGTGGCAGGCTTCTTGATAACTGTTCTTATATCTTAAATTAATCCATTTCCATAAATCTATACCTTGCCACGTGGCTCGTGGCTTACTGGCATCTTCACATGCTGCTTGTTCTGGCGGCAGCTGGCAATGACTCCTTCTGCCTTCCTGTTCTTTCTTTTCTCCTCTCTGTTAGTCCTGCCTATACTTCCTGCCTAGCCACTGGCCAATCCGTGTTTTATTTATTGACCAATCAGAGCAACACATCTGCCATACAGAACATCCCATAGCAAGGTTGTTTGTCCTAGATTCTTTCTTGGCTCTTTGTCATCCCCAAGTGTCACAATTTCATAGGACTAATCTGTCCCAATCGCACAAAGTGCTTTTCCATTCCTCTTAATAAACTAACAATCTCACTTCTTTGCAGGTTTATGGGACTGTCTATCACATGAACCATGGAAACCCATTCAACCTAAAGGCCCTAGTTGACAAGTGGCCTGATTTTAACACAGTGGTTGTCCGCCCTCAGGAGCAGGTAAGGCGCTAGGTGTGAACAAATATGCTTCTAGGGTTATTTGTGTAGAATCTGAAAAAGCTTATCCCAGGTTATATTTGGGAAGATACATATACATGCATACACATATGTACATGTAATAACAATTAATGGGGAAAGAGTCTTGAATTTGAAAAAGGAAAGGAAGAAATATATGGGAGGTTTTGGAGGGAGGAAAGGGAAGGGAAAATGTAATTATAGTATAATCTCAAAAAAAGTTGATCACATGGAAATCAAGAGTATAATGGAAGTTTCTAGAGATGGGGTGGGGTGGGGAATTGGGGTAATACTCATGAAAAGATAAAAAAATTACAGTTAGAAAGAATGTTAATGAGATCTATTGCACAGCATGGCGACTAACTATATTTTATTCTGAAAATGGTGAGAGAGATGTAAAGTGTTCATACTAAAAGTTTTACTACTGTATATATTTTAATTAGCTAGGTTTATACATATCACATATATGTACATACATAGCTGTATGCTACACACTGACATTTCAATTTGTGTTGAACCAAATGTATGGCAATGGCCCCATCATAATACATTGCCTACGCTGGGGTGAGACCTCAGTGGGTAAAGTACTTGCTACGAAAGCATGAGGGCCAAAATTTGAACTCCAGAGCCCACTTGAAAAAGTCTTGTGCAGTGGTGTGTGCTTGTAACCCTAGTGCCAGAGAGACAAGATGGTAGATTTCTGGGGCCCGTTAACCAGCCAGCTAGCTTGCTAGGCATGATCCAGGCCAATGATAGACCTTCCCTCAAGGAAAAAAGGTAGATGACACCTAAGGAAGTACACCCAAGGTTCTCCTTTGACCTCCACATATAACTACACACATGTGCAACACACACACACACACACACACACACACACACACACACATGCTCAGTACTTTTCCTAATGGCATTGTAACCATTTTAGTTTGTGTAATCACAGACTATGATGGCCCAACGGTTAAGAGCACTGGCTGCTTTTCCAGAGGACCTGGATTTAATTCTCAGCACAAACATGGTTCTCATCATCTGTGACTCCAGTTCCAGGAGATCCAGTGCCCTCTTCTGGCCTCCCTAAGACCAAGCATGCATGAGGTACACAGATACTCATGCAAGCAAAACATTCATACACATAAAATAAAATTTAAAACACTAAAGTACAATGAAACTAGCACTACAATCATAAACAATAAACAATGAGTATTATCTTTCCTTTCTCCATGATAACAGGATATGGCAGATGACCTTGATTACTATACCAATACTTACCAAATCTACTCTAAAGACCCCCAGAACTGTCAGGAATTCCTGGACTCCCCAGAAGTAATCAACTGGAAACAACATTTGCAGATTCAAAGTAAGAGCAATGGGAAATGAGATCAATTCCTTCTGTGTCTCTTCTCAAAAGATGCCCTTCTCCCCAACTCCTCAGCCAAGTTCCATGCCCTCAGCCAGATGTCCATGCTTTCACATCATTAAATCTACTTGTAAAGAAAAGTATAAGAAAGAGTTCTTAGGTTGAACAGAACCTATAGAATGCATGTATATTTATATATAATAAAGGAGGATTTATTAGCCTGGCTTACATGAAAGGGACTATGTAGACCAAGAGTTGCTATATGCACATTGGAGAGGCAGAGAACCTCTGTAGCTACATGGTCCACAAAGCTCCATACTTTGGCAATCTCAGTTTGTTGCTAATAGCCTAGACATTTCCTGGGGAGTTATGGGTACTGTGCTTACTTTGGAAGGGCTGAAGAGACCAAGTCTAATATCAGCAGAAGATGGCAACAGTGAAGGTAGACAATAGACAATATGGGGATGCTGTTTTTCCCCTCAAACTCTTCTTCATCTGGCCTACCCATTGGAAAGTGTGAACCACTTTGAGGGCTGATCTTCCTCCCTCAGTCAATCTTGTTCCAGACTCTTCCAGAGGTATGTCTCTTAGATGGTTATAAATCCTGTCAAGTTGACAACTGAGACCAACCATTATAATAATCCCTGTTCCCAGAAATGTGTGGCATTGTTTTAGATGTGTCCAGAATTCTTAGAAAAAGTAGGTGCAGGAGTGCAGCTTCACCTCTGGAATCCCATGTCTGTAATGATATTGACAGTTCATGGTGTCACAGGGTACCTCTAAGGTAACCAATAACAACTATCCTGATGATAAGCATACTCTTAGAGACAGACTCCCTAAGTTGGTATCTATCTGCTCCTCTCTATCTGATCCTATCCTGATGATAAGCATACTCTTAGAGACAGACTCCCTAAGTTGGTATCTATCTGCTCCTCTCTATCTGATCCTTAAGAAGTGTCTTGCCCTCTCTGAGATCGTAGTCTCTGCATATAAAGATGAAAGTTAATAGGAGTTCTTAAAATACAAGACAGTGGTGTAGTAGAATACTATTTTAAGGTGTGTTACTTTTGCTTATATTGCATTTGTTTAATTCTGTGAACCTATGTTACTGTGCCTGTCTGAAACACCTGATGGTCTAATAAAGAACTGGCCAATAGCAAGGCAGGAGAAAGGATAGGCGAGGCTGCAGGCAGAGAATATAAATAGAAGGAGAAACCTGGGAAGAAGAATTGGAGATCTAGGATGAAGTAGCCAGAGAATGAGGAAGACTCCAGGGGCCAGCTTCCCAGCTACACAACCAGCAAGCCAGAAATAAGAGAATGGGAAAAGCCCAGAGACAAAAGGTAGCCAGGATAAGTTAAGTTAAGGAAAGCTGGCTAGAAACTAAGCCAAGCTAAGGCCAGGCATTCATAATTAGGAATAAGCCTCCATGAGTGATTTATTTGGGAGCTAGGTGGTGGGCGCCCAAAAGAGTAAAAGACAAACAAGACCACACCGGCGTTTTGAACAGGAAGAGCTTAATGTAATACTGGGTGTCCTGGTTAGCCCTAATTGCCAACTTGACACAAGACAGAGTCACTTGGGAAGAGTTGTCTCAGTTGGGTAACTGCCAAGATCAGGTTGGCTTAGAAAGCATGTCTGTGGGGCATTGTTTTGATTGCTAATTAATAGAGGAGGGCCTAGGTCACTTTAGACAAGTAGCCCTGGACTGTAGCCCTGGACTGTATAAGAAAACTAGTTAAATGTGAGCATGTGAACGAGCCAGAGAGTAAGCCAGCAAGCAGTTCTGCTGCAGTTTCTGCCTTGAGTTCCTGCCCTGATTTCCTTTAGTGACAGATTGTGACCTAGAAGTATAATGCAAATAAACCCTTTGTCCCCAGTTGAGTTTCATTATGGTGTTTTGTAACAGTGACAGTATGAAACTAGAATGGGGGATAGACCAGTTAACATTTGCTGTAACAGAAAATTTATAATGAAGTGAATCAACAATTCAGTTTGGGCTTTGCAGGCAGCTCATTACTGGTCTCTACTAGATTTGTTCATGTATCATATGGTGATTGGAGAACTCAATATATGTTGCTTCACCATAGACTCATTCACATGTGTAGATGGTGGTTCTGGCTATCAGTCAATACCAGCTATTGATTGTAATGATGGTACAATGTGACTCTGGCCAGCTCCCTAGGCTGGTTTATATGCAGTTGGTCTCAAGGTAACTAGGGTAAAAAAAAGAAAGTCTCAAGGTCTAACACTGTTAAGCCTCTCCTTGCATAAGTTTATATTCCTATTGGCCAGATAGAGCATAGAATGGGACTGCTCCAGGGAACAGATGCAAGGAATTACAGTTAAATTCCAAATCATTGCTTCAATAGTCCACCACAATGGAGACATGACTCAGAAGATGCTGGCTACCATATTTTATAGCTCATCTTCTTTGATTTTCAAAACTATACAATTATATGCCTTAAAAAATTTAGTTCCAGTCTCGGTCCATTCACAAAATGACTATGAATTAATTCATCCCCTGTCGTGTTTTCATTTTTGTAAATCAGGGAAGATTATGACAGCCGTGACTATATGGTCATTCACACAGCAGCAGCAGCAGCAGCAGCAGCAGCAGCAGCAGCATGACCGTAATCAAGCTTTATCTCAAATCTCACACTTCCTACCCCATTGGAGAGCTCCCATCCAGAACGACTTCTCTCTTTAGAAGTTCACTGTATGTTTTCTTATAACCCCATCTAGGTTCCCAGTCCAGCCTGAATGAAGCAATACAAAATCTTGCAAACATTCAGTCTTTCCAAGCCAATCACTCAGAAAACATCCTCTTTGCGGCATCAGAGACAATCAAGACACTGTTCCCTTCCCTGCTGGATACAAAGAATTTGTCACCGGGTAGTGGCAAGCCCAAGGCCATGTGAGTTTGATAAGGGCTGCTGCATATCCCTCACATCCTCTTCCTACGACCCCCACTGCCTGGTCCTGATTTCACTCTGGTCTTTGCTGCCCACATTCTAGGAGGTGACCCCCACCCATGCTCACACAAGCAACTCTAATTAAAACTCAGTTGGTTACACTACACACATAAAGGAAATGAAAGGAGGGGAACTTGTTGGGAAGAGGTTCAGTAGACTGAGGGCAGCAGAATTAGAGTAATTAAGAGTGCCTAAAACTGATATAAGTGGTGACATAGATTCATGGAATTATTAAATAATAAACTTTTTAAAAGTTTGAATTATAATAGTACCAGTAAGATGGTTCATCAAGTAAAGGCTTTGATGGTCAAGGCTGACCAACTGAGTTACTAAATTCGATTCCCGGGACCAACATGTTGAAAGGAGAGAATCATCTCCACAGCTTCTTCTCTGATCCCTAGTCTGTGTACACCTAAACCCTCCTACTCATCCACACATACCAAGTTATTAAATAAATTAAGAAGGGAAATGAAAAATGATCAGAATAATCTGTAAAAGTATAAATCTGACCACATTTCTCTGTCCATTGTTTAACATTTATTATTCTTGTTCATTTCCTCCAGCCACACTGGCCTTTCTATCCTTCTAACATAAGCCATCTATATTCCAGGACTTTCCATTTGTTGCTTCTCCAATGCTCTGCCCCTTAAGATAATAGAGGTGGGAACATACCATACCCTTTTACTCACAGACTTTGCTTTCTTCTTGGACCCTCTATAGCAATCAAGACATGTTTAAGCTTTCATCCTTGGATGTTACCCATGCTCCCTTGGTGAATAAATTCTGGCTTTTTGGTGGCAATGAGAGGAGCCAGAGATTCATCGAACGTTGTATAAAGAAATTCCCAAGTTCCTGTGTCTTGGGACCTGAGGGGACCCCTGCATCCTGGACCCTAATGGACCAAACTGGAGAGATGAGAATGGGAGGAACCATGCCTGAGTACCGGGCCCAAGGTCTTGTCTCCTTTGTCGTCTATTCACAAAGCCAGATTATGAAGAAACGTGGCTTTCCTATTTATTCTCACACAGACAAAAGCAATACTGCTATGCAAAAAATGAGCTACTCACTGCAGCATCTCACCATGCCCTGTGCCTGGAACCAATGGAAGTGTGTACCTGTGTGAAGATGGCCTCAAACACAAGATGGTGCTGGGTGGGTCTGGGGATGTAATTGGATGATGGACAAAGAGTAGACGGGACCAAAAAGAAAGAATAAATGGAAACCAGAAGCAAAGGAATGGTGCTGTGTGTGCTCTGGGGAAGCAGTGTGAATGGCTGACAGACCTGCCATTGTTCCTCTTCCTGAGTTCGAAGTTGGCCTATGTCCTTCTGTACTGAACTCATGTAATTTAGTCCCTTCACATTTCTGGGATCTATATGACACTCCCTTATCAACTGCACAGAGCTCCAAATGGTTCCTCTTGGAAGCCCTAGTGCACAACTTGGAGACTTCTGCTAACCTTGCTAACAATGACAAGATAATGTTTTCAGGCTACTGTGCCTTTTCCTTCTCTGCCTATGGCCTTTCCTTCAGTGATCAGCAAGTGTATTCTCCTCATCGGGTCTTAAGAAAGTAGCACTCTTCTGTTGGCTGCTTCACGTATATTAAACACATTATGCATGGATCATATAGTTTATCAGATTAAACACAATATACATAAAATAGCAAAGGAAGATATTAAGGAAAGCCTTACTTAGGTTTTCCGGTTCCTTCTTAGTTCCAAGAAAATGATGCAATATGGCTTTCAAAGACTTGGCTTTCCAGCCTATTGAAACCCTTTAGGAGTAAATAGAGTGTGCAGTTGGTTGCACAAGCATAAGCTATATGGCTTATGCTAAGGAGAGCAAGTGGTAAGTTATGGAGAGTAAAATATGGATGCACCCAGGTAGGAGCTGAGGGCAGAGAAGACCAGCCAGGACATTTACTGTCCCATCTCAACTTATGACATTACTTCTGGTGCCTGAACTCTTAAGCACAGACAGTTATGTCATGGGAAGGCATATTGCTAATGGGAGCAGGAGGAGAGAGCTCCTAAGTTGGAACATGTTTGCTAGGACAGTTCTCTGTCCCAGTAGCAACACTGGACAGCAGAGTGCTCTGTAATGAAGGTGACATCCTTCCTTTCCATCTCTACCCTGGTGTTACGTCATAGAAGTGGAGATCCAGTCCTACACCACCAAGTCCAAAGTAACGGCTGAAGTTTAATTACTTGGGAAGTGAAGACACTGGAGGTTAAGGGTTTCTCAGTTTTGGCACCGTGGACAAGTATCACTGTATGATCCCATATTCCAGGGGCTAGGATGTTTGCTAGGTCCCTACACATGAGGTGTGAATAGAACATTGCACCACTCTTTTTTCTAGATCTCCCCCACCTCTGTGAGTGTGTGTGTGTGTGTGCGTGTGCATGCAGAGTGTGCACATGGTGGTGAGAGTGCCTTCTGTTGTACTCCATCCCACCTTTTTGAGACTGTGCCTCATTGAACCTGGACCTCGTCAGTTCAGCTAGACTGGCTGGGCAGCAATCCCCCAGATTCCTCCTAGCTCTGCTTGCCCAGCACTGTGATTCCAGGCAGGCATTGCTGGATGTACCCAGCTTGGGGATCCAAACTCAGGTTTTCATGCTTACACAGCAAGCACAGCATCAACTGACCTGTCTCCCTGTCCCCCATCACTCTTCTGATAACTGGAAATATCTGCAGATATTAATGTTCCTTGGAGACTAAGTGGTCATTGGTTGGGAAACACTGGCTGATAGTTGTGGTCCTCAAATTTATGGACACATCAGAAGCACCCGGCATAGTAGCCAGGTGCTGTGTACATCTGCAGCCCCAGATACTCAGGAGGCCAAGACAGGTTACCTTGGAACTAGGAATTCAAGGTTACTCTGGGAAGATGGAGACCCTGTGACAAATTAAGGGAAGAAAACAAGCTAAGAAGGGAGAGAGGGATGGAAGGAGGGAGGGAGGGAGGAAAAGAGGGAGGGAGGGAAACTTTCTTATAAGTCAGACTGTGGGGCTTCATACATACTTTCTGTGACTTAATAATCATGGTAAGACCCCTAGATTTTACATTTCTAGTAAGTTTTCAAGGGATTCTGCTGCTGTCAGTATAGCAACCATGCTTTCAGAGCCATTTGTTTAGAAAAATATTGAGCATTTCTTCCCCAGGACTATGGATGGAAATTCATATTACACTCTGCTTTGTAAAACTTATATACATTTATCCTTCTAAGGGTGACTGAGCTTTCCAACACACTGAAATAGAGCCTTTTACATCTTTCCCGTCTCTCTTTTTAAGCTTCTTCACTTTGATTTGTTTCTTTGGTTGGTCCCCCCCCCCCCCGTTGTTCTTTTGAGCTGGCCTTGCACAGCCCAGGTTGGCCACAAACTCACCATGTAGCTGAGGATGACTTTACATTAATGACAGTCCTGTCCCTACCTCCCAAGTACTGAGCTTGCGGGAGTGCGCCACTAACTCTGGTTCTCCACAGCTTGTCTTGCTCTGGAAGTTTCCAGGTCAAAGGCACAGTCTCAGATCTCTTGTTTTCCATGTACCTGGCATTCTCCATGCCAGGTACAAAGACGACATATCACATCACTAAGGCATTCATCAATGTCCGTCATTAATTGTCATATTTTGTTCCTTCCATTGGTCATGTGATTGGTGGAAATTCCTCCTGTGCTCTTGCATTAATTTGAGTGTCAGTCACAAAAAAATGGATGTGGCAAAAGCAATACACTATATGTATATTCCAAACACTGTTCTCAGGATATATCACTGTATAAAAGGATTTCTGTGAGATTTACATTCTACAGTAATTAAGTGATTTTAAAACTTTAAAACCCTGAAGAAAGAAACTGAGAAAGACACTAGAAGATGGAAAGACATCCCATGCTCATAGATTGGTAGGATTAATGTTGTGAGAACGACCATTCTACCAAAAGCCATTTGCCGAATCAATGTAATCCCCATAAAAAAATCTTCATGATATTCTTCACCAGTATGGAGTCTAAAATTTGTACATACTTTAAAAGGCTTATAAAGGCCAGAATTCATAATATATATTTAAAGCATAGATATGGTATGTCATATTTTACTATCATATCTCAGCTGTGGCTCAGAGTGCAATTACATTTAAACTGTACTGCTCTAGCATGGAAATCATTTCATATGTTGCAAATATGTAAAACACTACAGATTTATAAAATATTTGTACAGTTTTCTACTCTAATAGTGATTGTTCAGAGCCATTTTTTTTTTTACCAAGGTGACATTTGATAATGCCTATAGACATTTGGTTTGTCATAAATCAGTGGAAGGTTGGGGTAGAGGGAGGAATGTTGCTCCAGGTATCTAGTCATTAGGAATGGAGAACGAGAATGGAGCTACACATCCCATGGAGCATAGCACAGTACCTCATGACAAGAAATTATTACGCTGAATAAAAGCCATAATTCAGAAGGTGAGACTATTGCTCAAATAATTAGCATAAATTAGCATGAAAATTATTTTCTTGGAGAGGAAATGCACCATTCCAGCTTATGGAGACTGTTAAACTAGCATAAACCAGTGCTGTTTAGCAGATTCACCTCCAGTGAACTGACTGAATATGCTGAATGTCATTTTTATTATAATGTCAATAATTTCCTAAATTTAAGAAGGAACTATTTAGGGATTGGAGATTTAACTCAGTGGTAGAGCACTTGGCTAGCAAGTGCAAGGCCCTGGGTTTGGTCCTCAGCTCCAGAAAAAAAAAAAAGGACAAAATAATAAGAGACTATTAAAACTCATCCTGAGCCCGGTGGTGGTGGCCCACACCTTTAATCCCAGCACTGGGGAGACAGAGCCAGGCGGATCTCTGTGAGATCTGTGAGCCAGCCTGGTCTCCAAAGCGAGTACCAGGAAAGGTGCAAAGCTACAGAGAAACCCTGTCTTGAAAAACAAAAAACAAAACAAAACAAAACAAAACAAAAACAAAAAAACCCTCATCCTGATTTGTACATTATATTCATATCTTAAGTTTGCCACAACAAACACTGGCAGGCATTGTGATAAACACACAACACACACTACACTATTGGTCATGCATTATCAAATTTAACTCTTATAATAAGGTCTGGAGGCAGGTCTCAGACCACTTTCATTTTGATGATGGATAACATGAAGTGCAAGGGGCTTAGATAAGGAACCAATATCTCCCGGGAAGAAAATGAGACTGCGTACCCATCTGTGTGAATGCAGCTATTCTCAGAGCCATAAATTTCATGCCAAAAGCTGTGTTTCTTCAGGATTGGCCTTGCTGTTTGTGGGTGGCGGAAATGCAGCCTTTATCTGCTACTTACTAGACTTTATCTGTTGAATACTAGACATCCATTTTTAATGAATACTATAGACAATACTAGACATTCTACTATGTCACCCCATGTACTAGGCTTGGGGAATGGAAACAATAATTAAGCAAAATAAAAAATCACTCCAAATTCATTAACATTGTCTAATTGAATAACACTCTGATTAGATCTAAAGTTTGGCTTTGTCTGGGACTCTGCATAATTCGGAATTAATTATTCAATTTCTTTGTTAGCAAGTTACTTAATATAAAAATAGACATAATGACAACCAATTTAATGGGGTTGTTTAGAGGAATAAATGACTACATATGATTCCCCTAGCACATAACATGTTTAGAAGTACAGACTTAAAGATCTTATTGGGGGTGGAGAGGTGGCTCAATGAGTAGAACACATGCATGCGGGAAGTTTGTCCGAGACAAATGGAAGTGGCTGGTTTGTAACAGAAATAACTTAAGAAAGTTAACTACAGTATGAAATTTATAGTTTATTGATCTAATATTTATTCTTAAGGATTTTTCTTTTCTTTTTCTTTTCTTTTTTTACAGTTTTGTGGGGGTGTTTGCAAGCACATGGGTATAGGTGCTTGTAAAGATCAGAGGCATCAGAACCCATGGAGTTGGAGATACAGGCCACCAACATGCATGCTGGGAACCAAACTCAGGTCCTCTGCAAGAGTAGTAAGGGCTCTTAACCACTGAGCCATCACTCCAGCCCCCTAATATTAATGTCTTTGGCCAAAAATCCATTTTAAAATACCCAAATGGGTGATGTACTTCAAGTAAAACATGTACTTTTGGGGCACATTTTATTGGGAGTCACATAATCTATGCTTCTTATATAAACTATTATTTCTGTCTGATCTCATCATTTTATAAAACC